GGAACATTAAAGCTGCGGACAACCGCGTGCTCACTCACCTTCACAGCATACTGCAGAGATGGAAGGAGTACTGTGAGAAGCTGTACAGTGACACCACAGATGATGGAGACAACCATGGCACAAACGAGGAAGAACCAAGCTCGTCCACAGGTGACACCTTCCCGGAAATCCTGGAGTCAGAAGTGGCCGAAGCGATCCAGCGACTGCCTAAGAACAAGGCTGCAGGTGCAGACGACATTCCCGCAGAGCTACTGAAGACCGGGAATCCAACAACAACAAGACTACTGTGTAAACTCTGTAACATGGTCACCAGCACTGGACAGTGGCCATCAGACTGGGTGAAGTCCGTCTTCATTACTATCCCCAAGGTGCCTGGCACCATCGACTGTTCTGAGCACCGTACCATAGCCCTTATATCCCATGTCAGTAAGGTTCTTCTCCGAATCCTCCTACGACGGATGGAGAGAGTGGCAGACCAGGAGTTTGCAGAAGAGCAGATGGGTTTTAGGAAGAGGGTGGGTACAAGGGACCAGATCTTCAACCTAAGGGTACTGATGGAAAAAGCAAGGGAAAGCAACGTGCAGCTCTTTATGGCCTTTATTGATTACAAGAAAGCCTTTGACTCAGTTAGACATCAAACCTTATGGAGGTGATGGGAACTATGGGAGTTTCAGGGCACTTGGTCAAGTTACTACACAACCTGTACAGGGACCAGCAGGCAGCAGTGAGAGTGGAAGATGACCTTACAGACTGGTTCGATGTAAAGAAAGGCGTAAGACAAGGCTGCTTGCTGTCGCCGATGTGTTTTAACTTTTACTCTGAGGCTGTAATGAGGGAAACTGTGGAGGAACATCCCACGATTGGAGTCAACATAAGCGGCAGGGTAATCAACAACCTCCGCTTCGCTGACGACATAGCACTGATAGCTACCTCGCCGGAAGATCTTCAGGTTCTGCTAGACTCTACAGACAGCAAATCTAGAGAATACCAACTGGAAATCAGTACCAAAAAGACCAAAGTGATGGCCGTAACCAAAGCACCCACCCAGGTAACGGCCACCTGCCGGGGGGAACAGCTACAACAGGTCCCAAGATTCAAGTACCTGGGATCCACAATGGATCAAACCGCTAGCTGCAGCCACGAGATCAGTGTAAGACTAGGATCAGCTCGTGCAGCCCTCCGAAGCCTAGAGACAATCTGGAAAGACAGGGCCCTCAAGACAGTAACCAAGCTGAAAGTGCTGAGGACTCTTGTCTGGCCCGTGGTAACCTACGGTTGTGAGGCATGGACCCTACACGCCAGTGACATCCGCAGGATTCAGGCCCTAGAGATGAAATGCTACAGGAAGATCCTGTGCATAAGCTGGACGGACCACCGCACAAATGACTCTGTGTTAGAACAGCTGGGAGTGGAAAGAACACTTTTAAACACCATAAAGAGGCGGAAACTCCAGTACTTTGGGCATGCCACACGAGCAGAGAACATCACCACCCACATACTGCAAGGGGTGATCAACGGAAGGAGGAGCCGTGGAAGACCACGCCGGAGGTGGGGCGACGATGTCCGTGACTGGATGGGCATGCCACTGGCTGAGTGCTCTCACAGGGCCAGAGACAGGAGAGAGTGGAGGAGGCTGATACTGGATGCCACCATAGTCCCCGACCCTCAGACATGAGGATGGGACTAGGTAAAGGTAAAGGTAAGGTAGAGTGTGGAAAAGGGAAGTGGAGCATTATTTTCTCATAAATTATGCAAATGAGATCCTGCTTTGCATTATTTATGACTGTTCACCTTTACAAAACTTAATGTATATACATTCCTCTCATTTCTAGTAAGTAGTTATGGTTAACGCTATTAGCACTCACTCACGGTGCATGGTATAAATAAAAATGCACCAACACACAGGTAACGTTACACCGCATCAATATGTATGACAAAAAGTTACAAACACAAAAGTGCACACACTTATACATGTGATTAAGTATTTTTGTCTTCACAGAACCGTTGGCGCCAGTATGGTTCCATCTTCAAGGAGACTATTGGTCCTCAGACGTTAGTTACTATCGCAGACCCTGATGATGTGGCAGCTGTGCTCCGAGCAGAAGGTCGCTACCCTCGGAGATATGCCTTCGAAAGCTACATTATGGCCAGGGAGATCATGGACAAGAAGCTGGGTGTCTTCCTCGAGTAAGTTCAGTTGCTCTCTAATGATATAAATTATAATGCACAAGAAAAATAAAACTGAACATCACACACAGTTCCTAGCCACTGGACACTAGCCAAGTAATCCTATGGGGGCACAGATTGTGGATTTTTGTGGCTAGGGGTACATTCTGGCATGTTACACTGGTTCTGTACATTATTTCCTGCAGGAATGATGAGACATGGCAGCACTACAGGAATATAATTAATTTGCCAACTTTCATCCCAGTGTAGCAAGCCAAAACATACCCCTGGGTGCAAAAATACCTGACTACACTCTGGCCAGGGGTACATTCTTGCATGTTACACTGGTTCTGTACACTATTTCCTGCAGGAATGATGAGACATGGCAGCACTACAGGAATATACTAGTAATTAATTTGCCAACTTTCATCCCAGTGTAGCAAGCCAAAACATACCCCTGGGCAGAAGACTACCTGACTATTTTCTGGCCAGGGGTACATTCTGGCATGTTACACTGGTTCTGTACATTGTTTCCTGCAGGAATGATGAGACATGGCAGCACTACAGGACTTTAATAATTGATTTGCCAACTTTCATCCCAGTGTAGCAAGCCAAAACATACCCCTGAGCGCAAGAATACCTGACTGCATTCTAGCAAGGGGTACATTCTGTCATGTTACACTGGTTGTGTACACTATTTCCTGCAGAAATGATGAGACATGGCAGCACTACAGGACTTTACTGAACAAGAAGCTGCTGCGTCCTCAGCAGGCGGCAGTCTTCACCCCCCTGATGGACGAAGCCGCCTGTAACTTGGTGTCGTACCTACGGAGGAAGAGGGACCAGGGGGGGAGGGTGACGGACTTCCAGGGACATCTTTTCCGATGGTCCATGGAATGTAGGTATTGACTTTTGAGTCATAATAAGGGTGCCTATAACATGTAAATGTGAATATGTTAGGCAAGTTTACTGAATGCCATGCTGTACAATTATACAATCCTTTTTTTATATTACTTTATACATGTATTTAATAACAACCAAATTCTATACTAAGAAGTGTACTAATAAGTTTGCTAGTATAAGGTTGCTATGTATACTGGTAAAATTAGGTATCAGTCTCCAGTTACTGCAAATCTTTTGTGCATGGTTATATTAAATTTGCTGTGACATTACCTGCCAAATACCAGTATAATAGTTTTATCGAGCAAGTAAAGTCTGATACTAATTTTCGTCCTAGTAAAACTGAATTTTATGAATTTTTTTTTCTGTCTAGCTGGCAGCACGGCCATGTTTAACCAACACCTTGGACTACTGAGTGAGAATCCCCCACAGCTAGCCAAGGATTTCATCACTTCTATCATCGACATTCTGGACACGACCAACACCATGATTGCCATCCCTCCAAAAGTCCACAAAGCCCTGAACACCAAGGCCTGGAGAGGCCATCTTGAAGGATGGCAGACCTGCTTTGGAATCAGTATGTGAACTTTAAGTACATGTATTATGTGTCTCTGTGTATCTGCACATGTATGTGTGTGTTTGCGGGTGTTTGTCTGTACAAAAAATTGCTTCGGATCCAAAGCATTCACAAGGAATTGTATTGAATGCCTAGATATCTGAATTTCATATACACTGTAAGTGTACATGTGTCACTCCGTAGTCTTTGTTTGTGCCTGTATGTATGTGTGTAGATGTGTGTGTGTGTGTGTGTACATGTATGCGTGTGTGTGTGTGTGTGTCTGCATGTGTGTGTGTGCATGTGTAGATGTGGTGTGTTTGTGTGTGTACAGGTACGCAAGTGCGTGTGTGTGTGTGTGTGTGTGTGTGTGTGTGTGCATGTGTGTGTGTGTCTGTGTATCTGTGCATACACATAATTATTATTATACAATGTATGTGTGTGTGTAGTTGTTTCTTAACACTTCGATGAACAAAACAAACAACTCACAATTACCTTTTGAAATTCTTTTTATTTAAGCCAAGCAGCTGGTTGAGGAGATAATGGAGAGAAAGGCGGAAGAAAAAGAAGAAGAAGAAGAAATCCCCGACCTTGTCTCCTATCTCCTGTCAGTCAAACTGAACCCAGAGGAGGTGCTGGCAAACATTGTTGACGTGCTGGCAGGCGCTGTTGATACAGTAAGAAACAAATGCTAGGCAGGGCTGTTTTTTTACAGTAACAAATGCTAGGCAGGGCTGTTTTTTTACAGTAATTTATGTGCTAGGCAGACCTGTTGTTACACGTAACATGCTAACGTAGGGCTGTTGATGTAGTGAATAACGTGTGATAGGCATGCAGTGCTCTTGATACAAGCTAGGTGGGCGCTGTTGATACAGTAAGTAACAAATGCTAGGCAGGGCTGTTTTTAACTAGTAATTTATGTGCTAGGCAGAACTTTTGCTACACGTAACATCCTAAGCAGGGCTGTTAATGTAATATGTGCTAAGAAGCACGTGCACACTGACTGTTGTTAGTAGCTAGGCAGCACTGTTTTTACAGTACGTAATGTGCTAGGCATGAGCTGTTGTTACACATAACATGCTAAGCAGGGCTGTTGACAGAGTGAGTAACGTGTAGACAGCGCAGCTTTGTTGATGCAGTTATGTGTGATGTGCTAGGTGGAGCTGTTGATACAGTAATATATGGTAAGCAGCACTGTTGATACAGTAAGTAATAGTGGACACAGTATGTTGTGTACAGTAAATACAAAATGTATTGTGCTAGGTTACACTGTTGATACAGACATGTGCTAATTGTGATATTAGAAAAATTTTAAACAAAATTTGTGCTCTGTATGAAATATTTCAGACATCCAACACCATGTCTTTCACCTTGGACACCTTGGCAAGACACCCTAACATCCAGGAGAAACTGCATGATGAGGTGGTAAG